CGTCATTTGCAATACGCATGGAGAGCCACGTGGCCTCAGCGACTCCGAATACTGAAATTCGATTTTACAATGGTCGTTGCGATAGTATTTACAAGTTTTTTAGTAGTTAGTGTCAAAAATGGCTTGCGTGTAGCAACTCGAAGTTGATGGATATCGTTTTAATTTATGCTGAATCGAAATTTGCATTATGCTGAAACATTTGTGTTATGGTGAAGCAAGACAAAGTGTTAGTTCGTAGAAACTGAGTAAGACAGAAATATTACATTTTTTGGAAAACCCTGTATATTTTTAAACATGGATTTCCGAGAAAATTCTATATATGGCAATATAAACAGTTTATCATTTTAGTGCGGGGTTGCCAAGTTATGTAGAAAATTCTTCGAATTTTTGGAAAAAACATGACCTCGAAGAAGTTGTATTAACTTTCAACTACTAACACTTGGAACAAAATAATTAGAGAGAGTTATAGACAAATGTTAGACAAAGGCTCCTATATTAGCTAATATCTACATTTCATACAGGGCATTTTTTATAATGCGATCATTTTTAGAAAGTTTAAACCTGATTTTCTAAAATTTTTCAAATGGAACATCCTGTATTTTATTGTTCTATTTTAATCACATATCGGTTTACTTCAACTTTTATTAAGCATGTTCTATATCTAAAATTGTTATTTTTAAGATATAGCAACATTTCTGAATATACTTAATTTTTATTATTTTATAGAATACCACAAATAAATATTAACTAATAAAATTAACTCAAAATGGAATGATAAATTATGAACTGACAAGTTGACACAATGTGACAGTTTTTTCCAAAGCCATTTCGTGCGACCGAAAATAATAAAAATTAGGTTTTTCCAGAAATGTTGCTATATCTTAAAAACTAACTTTAAGTGTAGAACATACTTAATAAAGAAGTTGAAGTGGACTAATATGTGAATAAAATAGAACAATAAAATACAAGGTATTCCATTTGAAAAATTTTAGATAATCGAGTTTGAATTTTCTTAAAATATCGATATTAGCTAATATAGGAGTCTTTACTAAACATTTGCCTATAACTCTGTCAAATATTTTTGCTCCAAGTGTTAGTAGTTGAAAGTTAATACAAATTTTCCGAGGTAAGATTTTTTCCAAAATTCGAAGAATTTTCTACATAACTTAGCAACCCCGTAATAAAATGAAAAACTGTTTATATTGCCACATATAGAATTTTCTCAGAAATCCATATATTTAAATATATACAGGGTGTTCCATTAAACAAATGTAATATTTGGCGTGTACCGTTTTTACTCATTGCCCTATGTGTTTCAATTTGATTTTGTCCTTTAGGTGTTTTGATCATGTACAACTTTTAAATAAACTTTTTTTGTGTATTATGAATAACAAGGAAGTTATTTTATTTTCTCACTCTAATGGCCCACCCTGTATGTATTTATTCTTTTTCTAACACGTATTATTTTTTAGGTATATACATATTCTAAGTATTTAACATATTCTATTTTATTGTCAACTTCCATGTCTTCACCATCATTATCTTCAACGCTCGGTATCTCTAATTCTAGAGTTTGACTTTTATTAGGATGCAAAAGCATGTTCATTATGAGCTATTATTGGTTTCGATATAGAATTCACTCGATATTATGCTTAATTTTCTTCGAAAATGCTCGTAATAAACATATTTCATCAATAACTATAACGTTTACCAAAATGAGTAAAATGAGGCTCGTTAAAAAGTTATCGGTGTGTACCTCAAAAACAAGATGTGATAAATACGAAAGAGAGCCACTGCCTACATACTGTAACTAATAGAAATCTATTATAGCTATCTGTTTTGCAGGTAAATTTAATGGTAAAGAAGCAATAGCCATAAGCACATATTAGACAAAGACATAGTTAGTGACCAAGTAATTGATGATAATCTCTTTCTAAGACATTATGATTATGGAATGCTTTGCCCATAACTCTCATATTATAAGAGATAGACGTATTAAACTGTAATTGTTTTAATTGAATGAATTGACATACAGGGAGTTTCGTGAGAAAAACATAGCTAAATCAAGACCTCTGGAATGCGTTGCTCAATTGTTTTTGCAATATGACTAACACATAATTTAAAGACTCCTACAATTTTTATTCTTGGACCTTTCTTCATATTTCAAACTCAAATGTCTCGTACATATCCTTGAGAAACTTAATACAATAGCAATTATGTAAGAAGAAATTATAAATATTTACATATAATTTCAACGTATTTCAACGTCTTGTAATTTATAACATCCAATTACAGGGCGAGTCAGATTTTATGTGGATAACTTATTTTTTACAGTCTCTTCAATATGTACAAAGATATATCAATCAAACTTGGTATGCATTGTGAGTTAATAAATGTTGCAATACCAATTTTTTTTTGAACAATCAGTGGCGGGGATATGGGTAACTGTAACACGATCCTAGACATCAAATACAATTTTCTAATGCAGACCTTTTGTTTCTCCGTTTCTAACAAATGTTATCTATAGAGGTTCTTAAAAAAGAGATGGGCTCTTTGCCAATAATAAGTGATTTTAGTCATGATTGAGATTATTTTTGTTTTTCATTTCATATTTTTCATCCAAAGAAAGCTGCTTTATATCGCTTTGTAGTTGTACTTATAACTTCACCACTGATTGATGAAAAAATCTAGTATTGTGACAGCTTATAGCCATCTATCGTCTTAGAATACATGTCAAGTTTGGTTGACATACTTTTTGTCCGTTCAGGAGAACCACTTTAACACCCTGTATCTCCTTACAGAGTCTCAAAATGGTTATAAGGCAACCTGACATTATTTTAAAAATATTATAACTCCATTGTTATTTAGACATAAACTGATCCACCCACCATCAATATCAGCATTGATGTAATATTTTGGTGTACGTGGTATATTTTATGTAAATGCTCATCTAATATGTGATATAAATTCAAAAGGGTCTACGCATTGTAAACTACGGGAAATTTCAGTCTACGTTCTTGTTGATGCGAGTTTTAGTGGGAATCCCTTATTATTGATACCACGCCTTCCTTATATTCGCCGTTTTATTTTGTACACGAAATAATTTGAATCAAATGCAATCATAAATATAAAACGACCCCTTAATTTTATTTGTGCTTATTTCCACTCCAGTAAATGATTTCAGAATTTTTTTTAGAGCGTAATATCCCATATAAACTAATCACAAAAATTAGAGGATTGCAAAAATACTTACTTGTAGGTGATTTTCGAAATGGTTGCAGAGTAAAAAAAGCAAATTGAAGCTTGAAATTTCTTGTTTCAGGATCTGAAAGTCAATAATTTTTGTCGCTAATCACTTTTAAGATGTTATAAGAAAACCAGCAGAAAAAAATTCGAAGTTTCTGCTTTCCTTTCAAATAGTACACGGGCTTCAATATTTATTTTGGCAATCTTAATTGTCAGCTCTTAATTTGATTCATCCTCTTTATTTTGGGCCATTTGAGATGATTTCTCGTTGTTATCGTCGTTCAAAGGAAATATGACCTTTTTAGCTTTGATAACGAAAAAGTCCAAACCCAAGAGACCCACATATCATGGAGAAAAATGAAATTTTTGGGGTGAAAACGCCCAAATATAGGTCAATGCTGATTTTTTTCTAAATTTTGTCCAAATATATAATTTTTGTAGTATTTTGGCCAGTTTTCACCCAAATACTGGATTTTCTAAGAAATATAGAGGTCAAGGGTAAATTTTTCTGCGCCTCAGAATAATAGAAAAATGATATTTTTGGACAAAATTTAGGAAAAAGTCAGTTTTGATTTATACAGGCTGTCCGCTAATTTCACCCATAACGGTTGACTGCATATTCACGATAAATAAATACGATCTACGAAAAAAAGTTAAATAAAAACATTCTGGTTTTTGAGTTACAGACCTTCAAAGTTGTCAAAAATAAAACTAGGTACTTAATTTAATTAATAACTTCATAACCCTCTTACCGATCGCGTTAAAATTTGGCACATTTATTTGAACTATTATGGCATACTATTTCTTAAAGCTTTAATCAAATCGATATACTGGGTGATAGTTTTCTCCGGTTACCTCTCCCTTTTAGCGGTCAAAACTTTTACAGTGGTCGTATTTTTTTAAAACGGGCAGCGACATTGAAAAGGTCGTTTTATTTAAAAAAAAAATATTGTCCCTTGAGAAAATCGCCTACAGAAAGGCATTCTTGAGAAAAATCGGATTATTTGCAGGTCTGTACGTTCGGTTTCATTTTTCTCCAAAATCCGTCGCCAAGTCATGAATTTTGACTAAGAATTGTGTGCGGTCGAATTCCTTCAAAAATGATATGTGCGTCTCTTGGGTTTACACTTTCTTTTTTTTTGTGTGTGCCTATGTTATCAATTATTCAGGAATTAATGATCATACAGAAAATCTAAACAGTGTTCTGAAAACTTCAAAATATCCTCTAGGAGCCATTATTACCGTTTTTAGATTAAAAACAACTTTTTTCGATGCAACAAACCTGATTAAAAAAATGAGTACCTATTTAAGGATTTCTACTAAACTTGGGATAACTTTACGAATAATGAGTATACTAAGGATATTTTTGTTTTTTTTTAACTTCAAAGAATCTCAAAAAGACCCACAAGACTTCAAACCGCTGCGATTTTTCTTTCATTCTAATCCGAACTATTGAAATAGAAAACTTAGTAAGTATCCGAGATTTGCGGAAAAAGATACAGCGGCTGATTAAGGGGTTGTACAACTTTATGCAATTCGTTTCTAAATTGACATTTGAAAACAAGGTGGAAACCGCGGTAAAAAAGTACAATATTTGTGACAGTTTATTAAATAGATACAATTTGCGTAACTAACGGCAACTTTGTGTAATAGTGAAAAAATCGTACATGCTCTTCAAAAGCAACCAAAAGAAGACAGTTTTACTACAAAACGGTGTCTACCAAATTTTCACCAAACTTTCGAATTTCACTCACTTTATTAAAGAGTTCTCTATAGTAGTGCGTCACTCGAGGGTTGCTCTTGATGAGAGTTTTCATCAGCATCGTCTCGTCGGGATCCTCCGGGCACTGCATGTTTCACTGTTTATTTGGCCACTCCCGTACTTGCGTCTATCTGTATCTTCGCGAATTCAGCGAACGACACTACTAACTAACTGACTGGCTGGCCGATAACTGAGCGAGAGCCGGTCGTTTGATTTTATTTGTACATCCGCGTCTCGCCGTGGTAAATCCAGTTATTTTGATATGCGGAGAAATAAAAACGCTGCGAGCTATGTCATGAAGATGCCTCCGACTGCCGTTGTTGATTGGCAAGGTAATGTATCGTCCAGGGTCGGACTGGAACACCAGGTAGTGGATTGTTACACGCCAGAGCGAAATAAGTTTCTTAAGTAACACTTTTTACGAATGGGAGCTCTGTGAGAAAAAATATACAGGGTGTTCTACAAGTCCTATGATAAACTTTAATAGATGGTAGATGGGTTCATTTCAACCATATTTTCTTATATTCGTTTTTGTTTAGAAGTTATAAAAAAAAATATAATTTCGTATTTCAATCAAAGTAGTCTGATAAATAAAAATTATGGTTACTATAACAATAACATTATTATTTGTGTCATTTTGTTCATTCATTAGACACTTAGCGTTAAAGTGCTAAATAAAAAATGCATTTATTTACAACTGAATAGTCTGCAGATATTGTCTTTGTATACAGGGTATCCAAAGTTTGGAAATACCTGAATAATTTCACAGGTAAATTATTTTTGAAAAATGTTATGGTCATTCTTGTAGTAACTTTTGACGAGGAATTCAATGGTGACCTTGGATTTGACCTTGACGATGACTTTGAAGGTTATTTCAGGGTCACCTCCATTTTTCAATGGAAACCCCCTTTTTCGACGTCAGCAATCGAAAGAGCGGGAAATTTTACGCCCAAAACCTTTCTAAGGTCATGAATCAGGGTTGACCTTGAAGGTTATTCAAAGGTTATTTAAATTTGAAGGCTGGATATCTCCGAAGGACGCAGTTGATGCAAATAGTGCAAAGTTCACTTTAGTTATTTTGTTTAATTGCAATTAGTGGTGACCTCAAGCTAGACCTTCTTGGTGTCTTTCAAGGTCATTTCAAGGTCAATACGTATACATGTTTTACATGATCGTTCAAAAACGCAAATCTGTATAGAACTTTCTTGGAAAACAACCTTTTTGATTTCATTGATGACGTAGGGCTTAATATTGTTCAAAATATGTGGTATCAGCACGTGGTGGACCACCACATAGAGGGAGACAAGTAACTCTGCTCGGCTAAATGATCATTTCCCACCAAAGTCTAATAGCATGGCCACCAAGTTCCCCAGATCTTAATTCTTTGGACTTTGGATATATGAAGCAGCTTGTGTACCATGTTAAAATCTCTACCCATCAACAGTTTCTTGAAGGAATTCAGGATGCAGCTAACTCGATAAGAAATGATCCAAATCTCATCCATCGAGTGACGGAATCTTTAGTTGCATTCGAGCCGAGGGTGAACATTTTGAACAATTTTTGTAGTCTTAATAAAGATTAATTAATGTTTAAACTTTAAACACAAATAATAATTATCATTTTTATTTATCAGTCTACTTTGATTGTACCTAACTTTTAAATAGAAACGAATCGACCTATGTTCATTAGAGTGGCCAAAAAAAACAATAATTTTATTTCGTGTCTCTTGTGAAAATATGTTAGTTTATCATGTTTTAAGAACCCCCTCAAAAAATCAGCTCAAAAAGAACTTTTTAGAGATCGCTCAAGATTTTTAAAAATTTTCAAAATCGCCAAAATTGATTTTTTTAATTTTTTTTTAGGTTGAAAAAAATCTCGATTCTGAAAATTTCAAAACGATATTTTAATTTCTAAAGGTCACTCATAATTATTTTAACTTTAAAAGTAGTGTACCTACCTAAAATGTTTTCGAGCGACCTCTAAAAATAAATATCAACGAACTAATAATTTTTTTTATTGAATTTGATGAACAAAAGAATAAAAATAACTCATGAGGCACTTTCTATTATTTTGTTCATCAAATTCAATAAAAATAAATTAGTTCGTTTATATTTATTTTTTAGAGGTCGCTTGAAAACATAGGTACACTACTTTGAAAGTTAAAATAATTATGAGTGACATTTAGAAATTAAAATATCGATTTAAAATTTTCAGAATCGAGATTTTTTTCAACGAGAAAAAAAATTTAAAAAAATTCTATTTTTGTCGATTTTGGAAATTTTAAAAAATCTTGTTCGACTTCTAAAAATTTTGTTTTTGAGCTGATTTTTTGAGGGGGCTCTTAAAACATGATAAACTAACATATTTTCATAAGAGACACGAAAAAAAAATATTCGTATTTTTTGAGCCACCCCCCTAATGTTCATATAAGAAAAAATTGTATAAAATTAACCCAGCTACCTTCTGTCAATGTTTGTCACAGGGTTTGTAGAACATCCTGTATTTTACGAGGGATGAAGTTCAACAATGAATATAAAAAACGCAAATTTTAAATTTATTGTTGATCTTCATCCCACTAAAACAGTTGATATTGGTGACGATCAATGAGGATCACTATTTTTTTACAGACTTTTACGCAAAAGATAATAATAGAAAAACTTAATTATTGTTTAAACAGTGTGCCCATTTAGAGATTTTTTCTCTGATACTTCTACTTTTGTCGGATAAAAAATTGGAGCTGAACACGGCGCACTTTAAAATTAGCGACGTGTATACAGGGTGTTACAAAAAAGTGTAGTACATAAACATGTTCTTTTTATGAATACCATAAATTTTCTTATTCTAATTGAAGTCTCTTTTATATGTAATTCAAAATTTGTTTTGATTTTCGTCACTGCCAAGTTATAATTTTTGTAATTATTTTTTTATCACGAGGTAATTCTTCATAAAATTTTAAGGAGGCAAATAAATAGGACGATTTCATACAAAAATATGTTATAGTGTTCCCAAAATTCTTTTTTGAATAACGATATTTTCAATTTTTTTTTTTTTATGAAACTATTTTTAACATGGAAATACATTTTTCAATCATATCTATATTGATGCCATTAATAAAAAAAAAATTTCTTATATAACTAATACGAATAATTTTAGCATACTCAAATTTTATTCAAATTTGATTTCTCATAATTTTGCCTTTCTATCTAGAAAAATAGGTAAAAGCAAGTTTCAAGAAATTGAATGTTACATTGCGAAGATACAACTCAAAATTGTGAAATTTTTTGAAATCCTCTGTTTCTCCAATTTCTCTGAAATCTGTTTCCTGATTCAAATCTCTGTTTCCTGAGTAAAAAATGTAACTTCGCACACTTGTTACGTAAATAACTATTACACTGTTAATTTTCTATAATTATTTATTTATTTGTCATTTGACGACTGTCACGTAGTAACTTTCTCTCTATAGGTATGTTTAAACATTTCTCCGATGATTTTGTTTATTATATGTAAATTGAATTATTAATAAATATGGGAAGATGTGGGAAGAGAGGGAAAGCTAGAAATTTAAAATATTTTCTTAGCGTTCGTAACTTCAAAAGATAACTATTAAGAAAACTATTATAAGTAAAAAATTTACAGCGTGATGATAAAGTTTGGAACAAAATTCATAACTTTTATACTGAGTGAGCTTTTAAGATGATTCAGTTGTATACAGGGTGACCCAGAAAAGCTGGACGGACGATCAATTTGTTTTTCTTACGGAACACCCTGTATATTTTTTCATATTCGAATAAAGCTTTCTCTTACGAATACAGTGATGTGAGGTTTGATGGGTCTATCTCAAATAACAAGCGAGATATTGCGAGAAAATTACATTTATTTCAAAAAATTATTTAAAGTCATTTTTCATAAAAGAAATTGTACTTGGAAACGAAACAAATGCAAATAATTAATAAAATTTAACGTAAATTTTCAAATTGTCCACCAAATATATAGGGTGTTCCATAAGAAAAAACAAATTTATTGGCCATCTAGCTTTTCTGGGTCACCCTGTATACAACTGAATCATCGTAAAAGATGCCCGTCCCGAGAACAAAATCGACCTGTTTTGGCGTTCTTTTTTTTTAAATCACTCGGTATAAAAGTTATGAATTTTGTTCCAAAGTTTATCATCACGTTGTATAAATACTTTTTCGTGTTGTTTTGTTTGTTCGACATAGGTCTAATTTGAAATTAATTTTGTTTGTAGCTATTTTTAATGAACCTTGCATGCTTCAAACATTGAGTACCAAATTACTGACTAATGAATCAGAATAACGAGAAGTACAATACAATTATTTTGACAAAATAAGTTATGATTCATTTTATATCATCACCGTTCAACGATGCCTTTAAAATACGTCATGGCAACGTCAAAAATTTGAGGTAAGACCATCATGACGTCGAATTTGTCCCGATCGTACGTTTCTGCAGAAGAATTGTGGTTACGGTTTGAATATTTCTATAAAAATGATATCGACACATAATATTTAGAATATCCTGGTTAGAAACTGTAACTAAATCTGTGTTTATAACATTTTCTTTTATTAATATTGTATAATCTTTCTGTTTCTTATGTTATGTTAACTGTTATAATTAAAAGTATAGGTAGTATAGAAAACAAGTACTCGTTATTAATAATTAAAATATATATTTATATATGTAAAAAATGGTATGCATTTATGTACAACTTTTTCTACGACTAACTACTTCTTAACCCACACCTTTTTAAAATCCTTTATCGTAATCAGGGTCATTGTTTAGTGCTGAGCGTCTGGGGCATGTTTCTCATGAAGGCCATGGTGCTTTTCCGCTTCGTGGAAATGCTGGTGTGCGCTATGCTGTTTCTCCTGGGGATTACCATGAGCTCCGTGGTGCTTCTCTTGGTGCTTAAGGTGATGCTTCTCTTGAAGGTGCTCCTGGTGGTTCGCGTGGTGCTTCTCTTGGTGCTTTAGGTGGTGCTTTTCTTGAGGGTTGGGGTTGGCGTGGTGCTTTTCTTGGTGTTTCAGGTGATGTTTCTCTTGAAGGTGTTCGTGTTGGTTCGCGTGGTGCTTCTCTTGGTGCTTTAGGTGGTGCTTTTCTTGAGGGTTGTGGTTGGCGTGGTGTTTTTCTTGGTGCTTCAGGTGATGCTTTTCTTGAAGGTGCTCGTGCTGGTTCCCGTGGTGCTTCTCTTGGTGCTTAAGGTGGTGCTTGTCTTCGTGTTTGAGGTGGTGCTTGTCCTGGTGCTTCAAGTGGTGTTTGTCTTGGTGCTGGTGCGGATTGTGTTTCTCGTGCGCTAGAAAAAGATAGTAATGATGAGGAATGACTCTAATCCAGCTCTTATTCCTTACCTTTATTAGCTTCGTGCGAATATATGTTGTGTTTATCAACGTAGGTATGGGGATGACCTGAAAATCATTCAATTGTGTTTATTCCCTCCTAAATAGGAAACAAGAGAAAAATAAATATAAATTTTTAAGGAATATTGGTGATAGGGTCGTTTCCGTTGGTGAAATTATATGTATATAACAGTGGACGCTTATGTCAGATAAAGTCAGTAATAAAGTTTTTTTATTATCGTGTATTCTTCAAATTCCTCAAAATTATATGAGAATGAGTAAAGCGTGACGTATTTACTTTACTTCGTTACATTTATATTTGCAGTTCTATCGTGTATGTATGTAAAACCAAAGGTGTGTTGCTAAATTGGCAATGCCAACAACAGCCAATAGTAATACAAGACGCCTAAGTGGAGATCTTCAATACATTGGATTTAATCGCGCTCGCATTTTTATGTCTACGGAAATATTAGAAAAAAAGAGGATGTAATAAAAAACGACTCCATTAAAGCAGTTTGGTCGTGTTTGTTGAGTTAAACGATTTTGCTAATAACTTAAAATTTACCTCTTAAGGGGATACATCTGTAAGGACACACGGGGAGTGCTAAAAATTAAAAAGAAAATTATTATAAATATGTGACTAATTTTGAATCAATATTACGCTTCCTTGTAGGCTTCCCTGGGGTAGTAGGTTCTTCTTCGGTGGCATTGGGTTCCGAACTATCTGTAGTACTGCCGGATGGTTCCCTCGGTCCTTCTGAGGTTTCACTGGTTCCCTCATCTGTAGTTGTCTCTGGTTCCGTTGGTTTTGTTGTTGCAGTTGCATCTGTGGTTCCGCTGGTTTCCGAACCATCTGTAGAGCCACTTGTACCTCCGCCCGTTGGTTGTATAGTTATTTCGGGTAAGCCCGTCTGCTTTTCTGTGGTGCCAGGAGCCTCTGGGTCTGTTGGTTTTGGAGTTGTTCCAATTCCACCTGGGGTTCCACTGGTTTCCGAATCGTCTGTAGAGCCACTTGTACCTCCGTCCGTTGGTTGTATAGTTATTTCGGGTAAGCCCGTCTGCTTTTCTGTGGTGCCAGGAGCCTCTGGGTCTGTTGGTTTTGGAGTTGTTCCAATTCCACCTGGGGTTCCACTGGTTTCCGAATCGTCTGTAGAGCCACTTGTACCTCCGTCCGTTGGTTGTATAGTTATTTCGGGTAAGCCCGTCTGCTTTTCTGTGGTGCCAGGAGCCTCTGGGTCTGTTGGTTTTGGAGTTGTTCCAATTCCACCTGGGGTTCCACTGGTTTCCAAACCACCATCTGGGGTGCTACCTGGCACTGGGTTTGATGGATTCGTCGATTCAGTAGTAGTGGTATCTCCATCTGGATTTCCTTAAAAGTTACAAAAGCTTTTTGAAATTACTCTAAATATTACAATATTTGAAAAGTATTATTCAATGCCTATGAAACTATTACCTGAAGTACCTCCAGTAGTACCTGACGGTTCGCCAGGTTTTTCAGTAGTGGTAGTTGTAGCTGTAAGTAGTTGAGACTTTTTAGATTACTTTAGAGCAATAGTTAGTTACACTATAAAGGAGGTAAATATTATTTACCAGTCGAGGACGATTTTGCGCCCGAGCGGAACGATGGCTGGCAATAGAGTCCGAGACTGGTAAATTATACTTAACTGCTGCGTGGTGTATAACATTTTATCTGCTCCCATAGTTCTTTATGTTCATGAAATAAAGATTAGGGATATGTTCCGTTACCTCACCAGAGGCACCGAAATAGTGGTTTGGCGTTCCGTATCCTGCAAATTCCTGAAAAGTTGTACGGTTTCGGAACGCGGTTACTGAAAAATTGGTGGATTTCTTGCTACCGCAACAACCGGTTATTTTTACTGGTAGAAGTGGTAGATCGTAGTTTTTAAGCTGTCAATTGTTAAAATTAGATCTATGTTTTGTGATTAGATCAGAGTATCAGTAAAGTTGAGGTTAGATTACTGGCCAAATTTTTTGGAAATGGAGGTAATGTAAAATATATGTATATATGACTGTTAAATAATTATATTTCTTGTGTTAGGTAGATAAACTAGTTTATTATTCTGATTTTGTAGGATGACAAAATTCTATATTGCGCTCATTGCAATATTGCAATAAAAACAACGGCCTTATTATTCATCATCTCGTCAAATGTTAAGTCAATGACAAGGTCAATGAACAATGAACGTCCCATTACAATTATCAACCAATTCCGGTTTGCTGTCATTTTTCCACTTACCAATTCGGTTCCTTTGGTGAGGTAACGGAACATATCCATAGGTTTTATTTTCTTAATCAATTCATTTTGACATTATTCGAAATCTTGCAAAGTCGCCTTGGTTGTTTGGAGTTGGTCGTTTCTAAGGTGTTTATAAACAAAGCTACATAAAAGTTGCAATGTTGGTGATTTTGAATTATTATTTCTAAATGAGTGATTTTCAAATAGAAAGTGCAGCAAATGTTGCCTGCGAATTTTTACTGCCCGAGAAGTCGAAAGTGCGCTATTGTAGATTCTAAAAATGGTATGTCACGTACATTTACAATTATTACTTCTCGTCTGGGTTCTGTTTCTCACCTAGAAATTATCAAGAAATCTATCAAGATTAGATTGGAAATTAAAACTGAAATTTCACCCTTTTTATAGCTATCAAGCAGGTAGATGTTACAACGAACCAGTCGGCAAGAATACTCTTCCTATGATTTTTAATAAGATTACAGTTTTTGAAATTAGAACATCCTGAAACATATACAAGCCATTTATTCCGAAGAACATCGGCAACGTTACTGGCTAATACAGGAGTTGATGTATTACCAAAGAGACATGGGTGGAAATCAGCCACAATTGCAGAACGTTATGTTACTGACATTTTATGTAACAAAAATGAAATAACCAACAGGATTCTTTACAATGACATTTCAATTCCAGGTTCTAGTAGTACGTCGTATCATGCTATTTTAATGAATCAGTCAGATAATATTGAGCCTCCAGTGACTGAAATAGAGCGGTCCAATCATTTTGAGAAAAATGTGACAATTAGTAAACGCGAGGAAAATAATTATCCAGATTTTATAAATGTTATTAAATGTAATAACTGTAAAATTACTATAAATATTCATTAATAATAATTAATAAAATGTAATGTTCATGAAATATTTATATTTATTTCTTCATAAAATATGCATTTATAATTCAAAATCGCTTTTTTCCCTAGGGAGGTAAGTTACCTCACTTACCTCCCGTTGTCCAGCAACTTCTACGGTAAAATCCACTTACCTCCTTAAAAACAATGTATTAATAAATCTATTTATATGCTATAGTGGGAACAGATAAAAAAATTATACCTACTTTTAATGTTTGGAACATTTTTTGAATAGTGTTCAAATATCAAAATATGCTGCTCTACCTTCCAACAAAAGCTGTACCTTTTAAGGGGAGGTTTGAAGGAAAATATTTTATATAAAACACTAACAGTAGGTATATGTATGAGGGTAATCTTTCTTATCATTTCCGAGACGCCTTGTACATACGTTTATATTTTTTTAAATAAAAATACTTACGGGTACATTCCAATCTACAAGTCCGGGTGGTGGTGCTTCTTGCAACTCGTGCACTTATTATGTGAGATTTAACATCTACGAAATAAATCAATTAAAGTAGGTACATATACTTTAAAAGAATATATGTATAATAATGTTAAGTCGCAAATGATTTTGCTTGATATTTCTGTAGGAAATGCTGCTTGCACTTAAGATTTCTTATCCAGAAAAAAACATTTCAAAGAATAATAACAAATTGCCTTCGACTTCAAGAAAAATTACAACCGCTTGACAGTATCAGTAGGAATAAAGAAAATGAATTCGTACCAGTCTTTGCTACTATAAGTGAAATTCTGTATATGTTTATATTGAGTGTCTTGTAAAAAATGTCGCAAGATTCTCAAAAACAAAAAAAATTACGTTAATTGGTTAAAAATTTTTTTTTTCAAAGCTTATTTTAAGGACAGGCGGATGTCAACAGACTCTTTTAGTGTGACGTCACATATTTAGGCAACCCGCAACAAATTGTTATAGTTGAAATTGTACAGACCGAATCTGACCCTTTTGTACTATTTGCATAGATACTATAAAAACGAACAACTTCAAATTAATTTATTTTTATAAGGATTTGGAAGCATTTAAGAATAACCAACACGTAAAATAAATACACTAATGTGCTTAAAACTTAACAAAAAACGATATAAAAGAATATTCCTACATTTAAATATTAAAAATTTAACATTAGCCATGTTATTCCTAATGCTTATGCTCGGAAAGAATAGCCTCATACACAGGTGAGCTCTTGTTGATATGTTATCGCTAGAGAGCGGACAATGTGTGTCTTTAACCCGAAGAATAGGTCAAATTTTGGTAGAGATGTGTACGCGTTCAAAAATGTATTGTGTATAAAATATGCAAAATATAATTATTATGTATAGCAAATATATCGTATTATCCTCGCGAAGATTTGTACCCTTTATTTAAAATCCATAAATCATGTGAACAGGTTAAATAACGAGAAAATAATTAAGTTAATTTAGTTCTAAAGAAATGAAATGACACTCGCGCCCATCTCTAGTCAATCCGTCGACATCGGTTGCGTTTATCGAATTCCTATTGGTCAGAATTCAAACTGCAGCCCTGTTACGAATGGAGCGTGAGTTGGACTATTCTATCATGTGCGTCGCCTGAGGTATTCGTTACATTGACTCCTAATTTCCAATTAAAAGAACGACACTATTTTTAACCGAACTTTATTTAATAAATATGTAGTATACAAATTCTGATTTTCTAAATATTTTATAACGCCTAAAAATGTATGTACCGTGGAATTTTCGTGAATTATCACGTAAATTTCCGATGCATACCCGACACGCCACTGCGTCATGGATAATGTATCTAGGTTTATGAATGACATATCTATGTTCAAAGTTAAAGACACAAATTGTCCGCTCTCTGGTTATTGCCGTTATCATTAGCGTATTTTCTTTTGTTTTATTTAATCTTGGCTTTTTCTAGTTCTACTAATTGTAAGTATTGTTATTGTTTTTCTTGGTGTTGTACTGTGTCAGTGTGTTTATTGAATGTTTTTTATCTTTAATGCGATACTCAATAACATTGATATAATTTTAATTTATTAATTACTATAAAAGCCAATATATGTAAATATATAAATTCTAAAATTCTATTAGTTTGTCACTAGGGGTTTGAAACTTTTTAAATATTTCTAATATTGCCAGAATATCGCAATATTTAAGGTTTAAGAAGCCATTTTTTTGGCACTTATGTCCAAAGTACATAAGGTCGAAAATCGGTCTAGTAAATATATTGAGAAATTCTTCTGCACTATAGGGTTGCCTATTATTTGGCGTATGTCATGTCACTACTAAAAAGGTACTTTTTTTCAAATGAAGTGACACATATGTTTATTAATATAATAGATTGTAAAGTTTTGGCAAAAATCAAACCAAACATTATCGTTGGATTCAGAAAAAAATTATTTACCAGGAACAAAAAACGTTCCAAAAAAAATTGTCTCTACAGTGTGTTAAGTATTTCCGCTGCTGGGTTTCTATAGTTGTATAAGTCCCATTAATCTACGCCCAATAGCTTTCGAGCATAAATGAGTTATTTTTCAATTTTGACCCGGTATTTCGAAAATCATGCCGTTTAGAATATACGGTTTAAGGGACTTTTTTCCTTAAAATCAATAAAAATGTAAATGTAATGTAACGAGCCACTCCTATTTTTTAAATATCACAATTAAAATTGCTAAATGTTTATTTTTAGGTGTTGTGACCCCCTATTTTTTTATAAATTTAGTGAATCGTCTCTTATTAAAAAAAATATGCGTGCCATAAAAATGTTTTTCAGCATTTGTTCATGATACATTCTAGCACAATTTTTTTATAGGTATCTCCTTAACTTTATATAAAACTAGCCCTACGGTTTTTTTTAATGTTTTTGCAACAGTAGTGGTTTTGTCGATGAAATGTAAAAAAAACAAAATACTGAGTTTATTTGCAACGAAACATCAACGGAAATATCGAATTTTCTTGACAATGAAAGTGTTTTTTCTATCAGGATAATAGAATCAGTTGAGTGTAGTCGCTATAAAAACAGTTTTAGTGCGAACTTCCAAAAAAGACGTCATCCGTCGCTTTAATTTAAAATGAAATATTTTTGCACAAAACAGTCGGAAATAAAAAATTACGAAGTACATCATTTGAAAACAATTATGAACAAAATGGGAAACGACCCTTTTGACTACATCTACAATGTAATGTAATGCAAAACTTAAACATATAACGTCAAAACAATTATTCTTACCTATGGCTGATGTTATAACCAGTATCGTGACGCAATAAACAGCAATCTTTGTTGCCATTTTGCCGTTCTATAGCTAACTCGTTCTAATAGTTAGCTATTAGATACTGATTGTATGCCTAGACGAAGCAGCTTTTATGGGCCTTTCGAGAATTCGAAAAATTCATTTCCAAAGTATTGTAACGCAGAAATATTTCCCTTAAAATTTGAATTTCTTTTGGATCGTACCGGGGCGCTGCAATAAGTTATTTATGCAGCGTTAAGTACAGGGTGTACCCTAATAATTACCACGATATATTCGGGGAAGTAAATATAAGACAAATTCGAAAATTTAGGTATTGAAGGGGGAGATATTTACCAATTTTTAGTACTTATACCAGAAGGTGATATTAATTCCGCAGCAATTTGTTTAAGATAACCTTTTTTTCAGGGTCAAGAACAAATGTTCGCTGTGCGGGGGCACGTCGTTCAGGATATCTAGCACGCAAGCTTTGTGGGCATTTTCGTTTGCTTCGCCATAAATTATGAGTATATCATAATATTCGCAATTGCTAAATAAATGCGCCATTTTCAATAGAAAATTTGGAAATACGGCTATTAAATGTACTCTCGAAAAACAGCACAGCAATCACTACAACAATGTATTACAAACTGACTTTGGCATACAGTCGGGTTTCATAAGAAATTTACAAAAAGTGTTACAGAATGTTTTGTAAGTACTCGCCGCGATAAAATACATGTATTTCAGCAGTTCCGAAACAGTTTTAAACATATTTTTAATTAGCTTTTTTCTCTATGACCTTAAACTTCCGATACAAGTTTGTGACATCAGTTAACTCAGTTTTTGCTCCTTTTTCACCCTTTTAAATTTTTGACATAAGTTTATTGACACCCTGTATATGTAATCATGTCTTGCAAGGAATTTTTTTCGTGCCGAATCTAATGACTTAACTGACGAAAGGTCAATATGAGGGCATCCTGTATACCGGTATCACTACTATTACATTCACCTCGTAAAAAAACTCGATATTCAGGTATTCTTCTATCAGGAATTATTTTGTAAATATTGGTGCTACGCAAAATATTTATGAATACGATTTAGATAGGATTCGGTTGAAATTCATGTGTGTAGAATTATGCCATACTTAAGGACAAATGTAAATGACAGGATTTTTCCCAATCGATAATGCATTCATTTAATATGACTGTAAAGTGGACACAAAAAAAATATTTTTTTAAGGGAATTTCATAATTGTGATGCTGCTGTTTTAATTGCGTACCATCCCAAAGAAGGCATTCAAAAAAACTACAATCAATGCAAACATGGAAACGTGACTATTTAAATATATTTAAATCGTTGTTAATTCATTCAATAATAGTGATAGTACACACAATTTGAATTATTCATCGTCCAGACCAATAATAATATATTTGCTTACAAGAATTGATATTTTTCATAGTTGTATATTTCATATTAAGCACTACAGTTTTTAAAATTTGCAATAATTTGTTTCCCAGTAATCGGTAATGGCTTCCGCTTTTGTCACATTGTCCCTAAATTATAAACAAATCGAAATAATCTTCGTTTGAGTAATTTATATATATAGTAATTTATATAGATATTTTAGTTTCGTTTAGTGACACGACACACAACAATATTTGACACAAGCCAAGCCACTTTTGTTATTTTTGACAAGTTTATGTACAAGGCAATTTTGATAACACTTCAGATATGATGAAAACTGCCAAAATAGTAGAAACTTGCAAATATCTCCAAAAGTAGTGATCGCAACCCTAAAAATGCTTATATGGCTTGAAAGAGAATTTCAATGTGTACAAGACAGAGCAATGTTCCATTTAAGCTAAGAAAGTTTTACTTTGCCAAAAGGTAACAGCGAAAATGAAACGCTTGGTATAATATTTTTGAATTTAAATATATACCATAAGTGAGCGTCGTCCAAGTTCTCTACGAATACCAAAAATGAGCTTGATATCGCGCTTGAAAAGAGTTATTAGCATCTCTGCGGACCCTTACATCTGTCAATTTTTTTCTTTAAAAATGAATATCTCGAAATTTATTACTCCTAGCCATAAGGAGTATTTAATAAAGTGACCCTAAAATTTCACGTAGAATCCGAAAATGCAATAATATATAGGGTGTTCTATTTAAAATAACGAAGTTGGTGTCGACTTCCGGTATGACCGGAAGTGCTGGAGAGTTCTAGATATTTTAGTTGTGTTCGTCCCAGGAACATTGCCATGTCGCCAAATTTTCAAAATTTTCGGATGTGTCCTAGATATCGATCGATACAGTTCCCGGTGGGACACCTTGTATAGTCCAATTGCTAGAGGTTTTAAAATGGCAGTAATACCAAAGTGCACATTTTTTTGCAAGTGATTAGTATTTTTCTAGTAGATGAAGAAAAAAAAATTGTTTTCCACGGGAACGGGCCGAGAGAATTTGGGAAATGGCCGGAAAACTGCAAGAAAATATATTTCTTGAATAACTTTAACTTAAAGTATTGAGAATGTCACAAATATGCAAAGGGGCGAAATTGTAGAGCATAAAATTCTCTACAAAAAAGGTTGTTTCTAATTTTTTCGCACATGCCATATTTAGGAGATATTTAGGGATTTACATACAATGACGATTCGTATGCAAATCAGCCAGAAAAACACGTATTTCAAAGCGGTGCTGCACTTAATGTCTTTCGTCTCTTGATAAAAAGCATTGTTTGAAAGGGGGAGCTTCAATCTTTCCTTCTATAAGCTATTTTACAGGGAAAAATAATTGCCTCCTTAAGAATCTATCTAGAATCATTGCGAATTAGTGGGCAGTCGAACTTAGCGCTTTTTTTATAAAGTTAATAGGACAACCTAACAATTAATTGCGTCAGACTAAAACGAAGTCAAATGCCATTGAATTAGTGGCACCTTTTCACATGGGGGGTTCGTTGCCCAAATATCCAGGTAGAAAACCAGTACAACAGCCGGAAAGGGCAGGTTCTGAGCTACAATTTACTATAGTATTAATACTGTATTCTTCTCCGTTAATCTGTATTACGAGTGTTTTCATTTTTGCTTCCCTTTTTGGGTGTTTCTCAAACTTTTGAAAATATTGGATGAAAATTGAGTCATAATTATTTTTTAATGTCATATTCTTAAAGAACGGGTTTCAAAGAATAAATCCGTATACTATACAGGGTGTCCTACTAAGGTCGGCGAGGTACGATATCAGGGAAAGTATAGGCCCTAGAGCTTCGAGAAAGGAATTTTCTTTAATAAAGCGACCAAGAGAAATCACTGGAAATAGTTTCCAAGTTCGTAGCTCGGTCGCTAGGGGGCGCAATCTGCATACCAAAACATAGTTGAATTTTTCTCAGAAATGTTCCCTATTCAGGTATATTAAATAGTACAAATATGGATAGACGGATTTATTGCGCATAATTTTTGTAATTGACATTTTGTTCTATCTCTCGACAGAAAAGGTGGGGGAAGCCCCTAATGTCTGATCAGAAAAATGCATTTTTTTAAGGATTGTTTCATCAAAACCCCATAATGTTATATTTCGTTGGAAAGGTCTGTTAATGCTTTATCTCGTGGTGAATGCGAAATGTCATTTACCGCAATATGGAAACCTATAGATGGCGTTATTTCAAAAGAATGTCGTTTCATGGATTTTTCTCAACAATATTAAATGCAAGGCTAAATAAATTCAGCACAGAAAATTGATGAATATAGCACAAGTTTCAAATGTCTAACTAAAGTGTTGCTTAAAGATGGTATAGCTTATTTAGTTATTTATCGACGCTATTTATCTAAGCTAAGATTAGGTTGTTTCACGTTTGCTTAAAAAATTGAAATAGCAAGATCAAACTTTTTATGGGTTAGTTTGAAGAGCATAAAAATAGCTACATTTTGACGCCAAAAAGGGTTCGATATCTTTTTTGTTATCAAATTATTTTCAAATCAGTGAGCAAAAAATAAAATATCAATAACAAAAATTATACGCAATGAATCCGGCTTTCCATATTTGTACTGTTTAATATACCTGAATAGGAAACATTTCTGTGAAAAATTCAACTGTATGTTTTGGTATGGAGATTGAGCCCCCCAGCGGCAGAGCTACGAACTTGAAAACTATTTCCATATATTTCTCTTGGTTGATTTATCAAAGAAAATTCTTTTCCCGAAGCTCTAAGGCCTATACCTACTTTCCGTAACATCGTACCTCGCTGACCTTAGTGGGACACCCGGTATATATACTGAGACACAATACTTAGATGCATTCTTCGAAAAAAAAAGTGGAGCCAGCGCTTATAATCTAAAAATATGAATGAAATAAAATATAGGCAAATTTTTGCCGGGATCGATTCATACAAAATACATGTCACATTTCGGTTTGGTTTTATATTGCTGAATATTTGCCCAATATGCTTTAGTTGATTGGTTGTCCCATTAACTTTGTAAAAAAAAGCGCAAAGTTCCAGGGCTAACTAAGCTGTACTCGCGATGATCCCACACAGTTTTCTTAAAGAAATAATTATTTTTCCCTGTAAAACAGCACATAGCTCCCCCTTTCAAACAAACTTTGTTTTATGCATTTTCATCAAGAAACGAAAGAGTAGTCGTACAGTTAATGCAGTGCAGGACAATTTTTTTTCCGTGTTTACTGCCAAAAAACTACATGCATTTCTGCGTTAGTGTACAATAGCATTATTTATATTTTATTACATAACCTCACAACACAAACAAACAATAAAAATAAAAATTCATCTATAAAACTAATAATGAAGACACTATTGATGAACAAACTCTTATAAGTATGTAATTTTTTATTTATAGTTAAGCTAACAAACATCATATATATTAGTAGATAACTAGATTAACGTGTAGATATATGTGCTAGTCAATTCTGGGAAGATAATCGTTATTTGATTCCACTTCACTTTTAGTTTTCTTTCTGTCTTTCCCTCTTTTTCTCGAGATATCCGTGAGAAGTCGTACAGGAAAATAGTAAATTATTTCGACGAAGCTTAAGATACTTGCTCCCAAGAACAGAGCTGTAGCTCCTCCCATTGACACTAAAAAAATTGAAATTATGCCCAAGGGTTTCAAGGATTGAATGTGTTTTCTTTGAAAGCATAGACTATTTTTGGCTTGGTCTGTAGACTTCTATGACAGTTGTCAATTCCCTGGTTGGTTGCCACGTCATTAGCTTAGGTTTCTGGAGTTTCGGGTCACATATCGCCCGTCTCTTCAGAAGAAACTCAAAGAAACTTTAAGAAGTCTACACCGATGACGTGGAAACGATGCTGGGAATTGTTCAACCAAAAGCTACTATCATTTATATTCAAAATTTAGAAGAAAATTTGTAATAATTTGCTAACACTCACCGACCAAATCCAATTTTCCTCTAACGACATTTCTCTTGAATCGTTCCGTCGGCAGATGTTCCAAAGACAGTTTTACAATAGCGTACTCTTCAGCTATCCTAAAAATGAATAAGAGTAACACTTTTATAATAATTTCAAACTTTTGTGTGCTGTTACCCTTTCTTGAAGTCTCTGACGATAGACAGCTCGATTTCTGTACAACTGGGTAAGCAATCGCAGTAAAGACCTGGTCGATTTGCCCAAGACGGTTTTAGTACTGCTAAATCGTTGTAGTTGATGCTCAAGCAATCCAGGCCGGTGATATTGCACTGCTGATCAGGTCCTAGGGATCAAATTTTAAGGGTAATTTTTGAATAACCAGTCGTAACAAAAAATATTGTAAGCAATTTGTATTTATCTTTTTCATACGACAAAATTACCAATCGTGAAAATTATTTACAAACTTATTACGTAAATACCTATTGTACAGAGTAATGCTGCATATACAGTGTGGCCAAGATAAGGATGGGATAGCATTAGGATCTAGAAAATGGTGAGATACAGCGTGGCTCAGATTAGAAAAAAGTTGTTTTTTTATACCTGACAATATGCCGTTTAGAAAGTTTTAAAATTCCGGGTAGTTCCGGAGATATCCGGAAAAACCCGAAATTTTGCAAAATCGTTTTATTTTTTTCTGGCTTTATTTGGAAACGAATATATAAAAAAAATGTTGGATATTTTGTGCTGTATTGACTTTTATACTGTTATGACTTTCTCTAATAGATATTTTGAAAGCGTTCAGAGCCGTACTCAGGAAAAAATTTAAATGACAGCTAAAACAAGCTAAAAACCTTTTTACAACACAACATTACATTACAATAGTAATACCATATAATTCAGAATTAAAAATGACTAGATTTTGTCATAAAAATAGCAGCGATGTATTTAAAAAAAATTAACCTGATGATGGCCCCTCGAAGACGAAACGTCGGATTGCAAAAATGTTGACGCCATTGGATAGAGCGAAATGCGTGGCAATGTAAATATGTAATTTATTTTAAAATTCGGTGTCTAATAAAGCCAGAAAAAAATTAAACGATTTTGGGAAATCTCGGGTTTTTCCGGATATCTCCGGAACTACCCGGAACTTTAAAACTTTCTAAACGGCATATTGTTAGGTATAAACAAACACAACTTTTTTATAGTTTGAGCCACCCCGTATCTCTTACCGTTTCCTAGATCCTAATGCTATCCCATCCTTATCTTGGACACACTGTATATACTGTAAATATTAACCGCGACTAGTAACAAACCTTGACAGAACTTACATACATATCTGGTTGTAATTCTGTGATTTTGCACAAGGAAGACCAGCGTCATTATCTTTGTGTTGACGACTGAATATATGTATGTATCTATTATTTGAATAAAGTTGTTCGATTAATTCATTCTTTATAGAAATTAATCACAGGAAAATTACATTTATCCTCCTTGTGCCAACACTTAGAATCAGAAGATAATTTCGAATGAATACAGATCACAAAATTGTACCCACTCACTTGTATTGGGCATGAGATAATGTGCACACCCACATTTTTGTATTTGGGCGTTTTTCCTACACTGTACACAGCAAGCACTGTGGCTGTAGTACCTGTACACATCCAAGTCAGATTCTTGAATAAAACGGCACTTTCTCTGTTCTATACCCACGTATTTTACCTAAAAGAACAATACAACCATTAATGAAACGAATTAAACGATAGAAATTAATTTGTGGTTTGAAAATGAACACTCACATCCGGTTGGTTTTCGATTTCTTTTATACCGAAATATCTGTGGTATTGGATGTGTGGTAAAATTTGCAATACTTCGCTTGCCAGCGTCGTCATTGACGGTACTTCTTGTTCTCCTAAAATATATAACTAAAAAAAAATTAAACGTTCTATACTTTGTATTTTAGTTGTTTGGCAAGAGAATATATTTTTTATGTACTGTTCTGTTACGCTATTAGTTTTGAAAACGAATTCGAACATTTTTCTGCGTAAACTTACATTGGCGTATCCATATATTTCCAGATGCAATGTACCAGGTCCTGTATTTTTATTTGAGACCATTTTGAAGAAAGGTCTGGACTTTTCCCTAAAAAAAAGAATGAATATTTTAACTGTGTTAACTACGTACTTTAAATTTCTAATCAAATTACAGAGCGCCCCAAAAAAGTGGGTTAGGTTAGGCCGTAGACAATTCATTAAGTTAAAAAAAAATATTTTTTCGAAAATAAATTTTCAGGTGACAAAGTGCGTTTTTTTGTCACCTACATAAAATACTTTTATATTCTAGAACGCCAAAGTCTTTTTCGTTCTAGAACATAAAACAAAATTATTTGTAATTTTTTCAAAAATTATTTATGATTTTATTAATAATTAAACAATATACATTTTAAGTAATATAACACTTCGATACAAAACAGTAACTATTATAAATAGGACGATTACAATTTCTTTTGCACTACATGTAAATTGAAAGTGCCGATATTGCAGTGAGTTCAATTTATGCCAGATCCAGTGCTGTCAGTTATCGTAGCTTCTAGTTCTGGGTGTTGCTGCAATTGTTTAAGTTTACTGCGCACGTTGTATTATTGGCAAGTTTCGTAGGCTTTACTGAAGATGGTAACAATTTATTTGCGATTGAAATTTTATTTTGTATAGAATCTTCTACATACGTCTCCGCTACCGTACTAGAACGCCAGCCCAATGTCGTTTAATGATGGTAATATCGGCCCCTGCGTCGGCTAACAGAATAGCGGAAGAATATCCAAAAAAAAGCCCTGTATAAGTTTCCGCATTCATTGATCACAATCCGGAGGTAAAATCTGTTGAACGGGTTGCAGATGATAGGAGTGCAACAGCTGGCGCCTTAAGATGCAATGTATGGTACGAGATGAGGTTCCTACTTGCTGTGCAAGTCGTCGAGTACTAATTGTGGGGTCTTTGTCAAGATTTTCCAACACCGCGTCTTCAACATTAAGGTTCACTTGCTTTACACTAACACCATATCGACACGTTCGGAAATATTAAATGCATTGTTTTCTCGGTTCATTGTAAGACTAGTTTGTGCACAAACTAAAAAATTAAGCAAAATAAGAAATAAGAATCTCGTTTCTATAAAAATTACACTGTCACTATCATGGAAAATAAAAACTTTTGTATGGAATCTTTCACTTTTTAATATTGATGGGTCGATGGACGATGCTTAATATTTAATAATTAAGTGAATAATGAATTCAATACAAATACAAAATCAGTTGACTACAAATTTTTTGACAATGTAACCTAACCTTCTTTTATCGGGTCTCATAAAAACATTTCCAAAGTTTTTAATAAATAACACAGGGTCGGCCTTCATTTTCGTTAAATAAATGTACTTTAATTTACAAAAAAAAAAAACGCGAAGATAGAACTTTTTCGTATAAGACTTATATTACAAATATCATCAGAAAGTTGTAGTTTAATTTTTATAGATTATACACGCCACATCCTGTATAACATAATTGTCTTATTTTGTTGCTGTTTTCGAAGAAATATTGTTTGCATAAATGGATATATTGCCGAGCTTAGCGCCATTCTTGGACGCAATAGTACCATTTCACGTTCTAGAATCAAAAATAACTATTTTCATTGCATTTTTAGCAATAACTGAGTTATTTTTAAATGTGTATAGCTTTCAGCAGTTTTTTGCTTTGGAAATAACAACGCTGATAGGAATTTTTCGAACTATGGTTTTAGCAAGTCCAACCTGGATTGCATGGAGTTGATTCCGTAACATCTTCCCATTTCAGTATCGATGTGATGGAAATAGGTACAACAGTCGAATTCTTTATTGTTCCATTTGCAGGTTTTCAAAATTTGGGAACAGTTGCTTCTTACCTAAATAGAAAACATTTAATATAACTACATAAAAAATAAAACTGGAACATTTTTAGGACAATTACAGTGAGTTTTTAAAGTTACCTTCACAATAAAAAATGATTTGGTCAAATACCTTATCAGAAAAGTAACTAAAGTTCTTCAGGAAACAGTCGTCGCTGGCAGATTTTTCTTCCGGCCCACACAGCTGTAGGGTGTAGAAGGACACTCCCCTAAAATATACTTGTTCCTTGACAATCTCATCCATGTTGTAGTCGTGGGGGTCTCCAAATACCCTGAAAATAATTAAGAAGCCATTTTGGTCTTAATGACAGATGTTAAAACTAAAGAAATAGTGATAATAGTTTCCCTTACTTGTCTGTGACTTCGGCAATATTCTTTTGGTTGTCCGTCTCACAGATTGCAATCGAAGGGAAATTGGTATCCCATTCCAAATAGCTGGTTTCAACTACGAAACTTATTGAATTGTTTTGGAAGTCATTCCATGCTGAATGTATTAACATACCGGTAGCCACCCAACTTATAGTACAGCAAATAATCCAGAATACTCTAAAAATTACGCCAATATGAAGAGAATTTAAAATTTGGTTCTCAGGTTATGCGGAACATTGTATTTTGTATGTCGACATTGTGTTTTCTCGATCGATATTGCACTAAATCAAATTAAATCTCAATATTTTTCTAAATTCTCATCAATCGGGGTTATATTATTCAAAAATAGCAAATATAAAATAATCCTAAATTTTTAGCTGATTTTCAAACGAAAAATGATGGTAAAGTAATAAAAAATTAAGCTTCAAGTTTCTGGACCTTTAAGAATTCACAAGAAATCCAGCGAAAAAATATTTTAAAGAAGGCTGCTTTTCTTTCAAAAGGTCCACGGATTTTAATTTTTTTTTTTTGGCAATCATGTCATCTCTTTTAGTTTGATTCATCATCTCTAATTTGCGCTATTCAAGAGCATCGTACGATGATTTGTCGCTGTTATTGTCATTCAAAAAAAAGATGCCCCTTGTGGCTTTGATATTTGATAACAAATAGATGTTTTTTTTTTAAATCTCAAAGTATCCCAAAGAAACTCTCAAGAGTTCAAACCGCTGCGATTTTTCTTTCATTGTGATCCGAATGATTGAAACTGTCAGTTTTGCTAAAAATCAATTAAAGGCTAAGAGAGCCAGAGATAGCCAAATTTACTTTACTTCGAAGCTTCCCTCATGAGCGTTTCCTTATATTAGGTTGCCAAGTTGTGCTGTCAGTCGCACTAAATGACGTCACAATGCGTTATCGATCACGTGACAAAATTTAAAATGGTGCATAATTGTAAATATCTATAATTAATTCACACAATTAAAGAAATTAACATTTTTTATCACAGGTCACAGGTTGCCTATTATTGGCGGAAATTTTTAGAAAATTTTTAAAATTTGAATAACAAGAGTATAAGAGTTAAAAAATGTACGATTTAAAAAAATGCTGACCTCTTAATGAATCTTAATATTTCAGTAGTGCCTAAAACTATACTTTTTTTTTCTTTTATAAAAATGTCTAAATTTACGTGGGCCCCGTTTTTTAGGTTAATACCTCTGAAAATGTGAGAAGGCTGTGAACTTTCTGCAAACCAATTTTTTTTACAATTAGTACCCCGAAGAGAGGTTGTATTCTACTAACCATTTGATTGATGTGACAAAAACTTGACCTACTACGATTTTTTAAAAGGGTCGTTTTTCCAGAAAGTAGTATTAGGCATTTTTTTAATCAAAAATATAATATTATCAGGCTATTTAACACCCATCAAAATACCCATATATCAAATATGATCAATAAATGTCTATGGAGTGTTTTTTTATGGGGTGTCGAACTTCAAAAAATCAAACAAGTAAAAATTATAATAAGCAGGTCAAAGATGCCATAAAAGTGAAAACAAGTAGGTACCAGTCGGACAAAGAAAAAATATAGACACTATAAATTTAACACTTTTAATTGGGGCCACAGTCAAAATAATAATTAACATACAAAAAATGTAATGAATTATAAAAAATACTAAATTAAACAAAAAATTGCAAAACGTTAATCTAAATTAAATTTTAGTTTTCCCACCAAATCTCCATCTAGTAGAACACATTTTTCCAATCGTCTTCTTAAATTTAAAAATTCTTTACATAACTGTTGTGGAGCAATCTTGTTTTCACTTTCATGGCAATCTCTGACCTGCGCATTTTAGTTGTCTGATTTTGTTTGGCACCTCATAAAAAAACACTCAATAGACATTTGTCGATCAAATTTGGTATATGGGTATTGAATTTTTGAAAAAAAATGTTTATTACTACTTTCTGCAAAAGCAACACTTTTAAAAAATCTTAGTAGGCCAGGCTTTTGTCACATCAATAAAATGGTTAGTAGAATATAACCTCCCTTAAGGGTACTAATTGTAAAATAAATGGCTTGCGGAAAGTCCACAGCCTTCTCATATTTCTAGAGGTGTTAACCAGAAGAACGGAACACACTGTATATGAAATAAGATAAATAGCCCAGGGAAATTAGCATTTGACCTCGACAAAATTCCCTCTAAGCTGGATTTCTTTGAGGTGTCCCAAACTCAAATTCGCAAAAATCACAAAATTAAAGTTTTTTGCAAATATTTCGCGTTCAATGCATCGGACATCCATAAGGTCAACATAGTAGGTCAAGTTGTAGAGAATTTCATTATCTGCAAGATTGGTATCTTGCAATTTTTTCCGAAATCTCGCTGTTTTCGAAAAATTCAAGGTCAAAGTTTCAAAAACAAAGTTTTTCGCGAATATCTCGCGCCCAAGCGATAAAGTCGAAACTTTTACTTTAAATATCTCGAAAAGGGCGAGGTTTTGGGAAAAATTGCGAAGGACCAGTCTTGTGGATAATTAAATTCTCTACAACTTTCACATAACTATTATGGATGTCCAGTGTGTAGAACGCAAAATATTTGCAAAAAACTTTGACCAAATGTTGTGATTTTTGTGATTTTTACGGATTTGGTTTGGCACACCTCAAAGAACATCTGTGCAAAAACTAGCTTCGAAAGAAATTTTGTCAAGGTTTTTTGGTTTATTTTTCATATATTAGAAGTAATACAAGATGTCCCGAAATTCATGCAACAAAATTTGGTCACAGATTCATAAGACAAATTTAGGGACCCGTATTTTTTATTTTTGCCAAGTGGCCCCCTCTTTCAGAGTTACAGCACCCTGAAGTCCGCCCCTAAGAATAATCTTTTTTTTATATCTCGGAACCCTGTTGGACGAGAATCACTAAATTTGGTACATAGGGGTTTTATGATATGTGGAATCTGATGGTGCTACATTTTTTGGTGGGGAACCCCCTTAAGACAATTTTTCGTGGGCCCCCTTGTCTTTGGAGCCAAAAAAATTTGGTCGCATATTTAAATTTTTTAAAAAATGATTAGACCATTAGAAAGTCATTAAATTTAGAAACTTTTTGTCTCTTCATACTTTTTTCGTAAAACGCAATGTTTTCGAGAAACTTGTCAAAATGTGATCGAATGCATATCGTGATTCGCCATTTTCCTCAAAACAAATATCAAGGGAAAAAAAGTTTCTAAATTCAATAGCTTTCTAGCTAATTAATGATTAAAAAAAAATCAAATTTGTGACCAAATTTTTCTGGTTCCAAAGACAAGGGGGCCCACGAAAAAGTGTCTTAAGGGGGTTTCTCGCCAAAAAGCGTAGCACTGTGAGATTCCACATGTCATAAAACCCCTGTGTACCAAATTTAGTGATTCTCGTACAACGTGGTTTTGAGATATAAAAAAAGACTTCTTAGGGCCAATTTCAGGGGGCTGTAACACCGAAAGAGGGGGCCAGTTGGCAAAAAGAAAATATACGGGTCTCTTAAATTTGTCTTAAGAATCTATGACCAAATTTTGTTGCATGAATTTCGGGACACCCTGTATAATAAATGTTTTGATCTAAAAATAAATTCTTATGTACTTACCTTTCTGTCCAGTGTCTATCTTCCTCAGCTATAAACCGAAATCCGTGAAAAGAGGTATTTAAAATGTAATACCGTAGAGGAGAAACCTCTTTCTGTTCCATTTTATCAAGTTTATCAGTAAAAACCTTTCCACAAAATGAAATATATTTTCTACTTTCGTTTCTTTCCACATGCCACTTATTTTATTACCTATTGAAATCCGTGTCTATTGTACTTGTAGAAATATAATAGAAACGTACTATTGTATAATATCTGCTGGATCTGGTGAGGATAATTTTCCAATAAATAATTCAGATTAATGTTCCTCTAAATTACTTTATTTGTTCGTTACAATATAAACACATAGTTACACAAATAAATTTGAAAGTAGGTCAACCTTCTACTTAAAAATTGAGGGTGCTCAAAAATTTGTAACACAATCCCGTCACCTTCTACAGAGTACAACATTAACTACACAAACATTGAATCAGCATCTAAATAAATTTAGACTTCCTCAGTTTTTTTCGCCAATTGCATCTCTAGAGAACAGTTAACAGTTCTTTTAATTACAGGCTTTTCGCATTTTTCTGAAGCGTTTTCATCAGCGTCTTTCTCATCATATAGACTCGCTACAGATTCTTTGTTATCCTCTTCACAATTTTCATCATCCTCGTTAGATTCTTCCTCGTTTTGCTTCATGAGTTTATCGATAAACTGCTGATAATTCACTGGTTTTTCATCGTTCACTTCTACTTGTTTCTCATCGCTGGTATCGTAGTATTCTTCAGGTTCTTCTTCGTTTGTGGTGAAATATTCCTCGCAGCTCTCACAACTCTTCTCTTTCGTGTTACTTTCGTTTGCGCCTTTAACTGCGTCTTCATACTCTTCGTCCCCCTCATTCGTTATCAGACTTTCTCCGCAACGTTCACTGTCTACCAACACAGTTTCTTCCTCACTTTTTTCTTCATCCTTCTTCTCGTCTTCGTTGTCTTTGACATTACCTTCCATCGTTACTTTACTCAGTGCAGCGTCTCCGTTCCTTCTATGTTGTTCCAAATCTTTAAAGTGTTCGTTCTTTATCTTCTCCATTTCCGCTTTTAATTTTTCTTCCTCGCCACTGCTGTCCTCTTCTAGTATCATGTCCATATCCTCGAAGTGTTTCCTCATGACGTTATCATCCATGTGGTCTACTTTTCTATTTTTCCTAGCATCCAAAGTATTACATTTCCTCTCAAACATGTATTTCTTCATCTTCATAAGCTTGTCCACTATCTTCAGTTCCCTCTCCACAGCGTCGTTGTAGTCTTTGATGACTTCTTCTCTTGCCAGTCTGGATCTCTCGTTGAACTCTTCCAAATTCTTGGTAAATTGGGCCATATACTCTCTGACCTCCGATATCTTATTAGAAACGATCAGAGAATTCTCCGGTGCGTTTAGCTCCTCCTTTGTTTCAACTGCGACGACATCGTTTTGACTTTTCTGGAAAACGGGATAGTTCTGCGACAACTTCAGCATCTTATGAACGAGTGGCGGTTTGACGTTTGTTGTTTTGCCGCTTTCAGTGAACATACTGGTGTATTTCATGGCACATATGCTTTCCTTGGTATTCCTAGGATACATAATCTTGTCGTTTTCTTCTGCGATGTCCTTAGGTGGCGTGATTTCAAATTCCGGTTTGTCTTCTCTCTTGGTTTGCGCCAGCATTTCGCATAGTTCGTCTTTGAAGCCTTCCTCCGAGACTTTTCTCTGTATAGGCGATAATATCTGCACGTTTTGGTCGGGTACTTTCAGATTCCATGTCAGCATTTCCCTGTAGCTCGCGTCTTGTTCTTCTTCTTTCTTCACTTGGCACTCTCCTGTCAGTTCTTCTTGTATTTCTTCTTTGCTTTTAACGGTCACAGCTTCAGCAGCGTCTTCTTCGACTTGTTTCAATTTCGTCGAATCTGACTTGTCGAGTTTTCTGTAAAAGGGTTTTTCTCCATCCTCAGAAGAATTCTCGCTCTCTTCACTGTCACTGCTGTTGGTCTTGGCCTTCACATTGATTATGTCGGTAGCAATATAATTTTCTTCCTTAGTTTCAACATCATTTAGGTCCTTTGATTCTGGTTCGGTTGATATGTTGCTAGATAATTCTTTGGTTTCAGCACTTGGTTCCATGTAGGTCATATTTTCTTCATTACAACTGCAGACTGTTGACACCACCTTTTCGGTTTGTTTAGACTTCGATGTGGTCAGAATTCCTTTTATAATTTCCTCGATTTCTTCGGGTTTTCGTAAACGGCATCTTGGATGTCCATCGCCTTTCTCTGAAACTTGTGGTTCTTCATCCTCTGACGAATCGCTGTCATCGCTGTCGCTTTCAACGTTTATCACGTTGTTTTCTTTCATTATGTCCTTCAGCGTTAAATTTTTCATTAACTTATTGGCGTTGCTGGTCCCAGAATTGTTTGCGTTTTCTTCAGCGATATTTTTCGTCATATTTGCTTCTGCTTCGCTTTCTTGGGTATCTTCAGGAATTTTGACTGCAGGCGGTTTGTCAAATGATGTCATGTACTCCTCAAACGTCAAACTTGTCGCTGACATGTCAGATTTTTTCACGCGTTCCACAGCCTGGCTCACTAGAATTTCTCTTTGCTTTTCCATATAATTCTTTGCACTATTTTCGTCTTTTACTTCTTCATCTGTGGAACGTTCTCCACGGTTTTGTTCAGTACTTGTGTCTTGATTTTCTTCACAATTATCTTCGTTCTCTTTCTGAACTGCCTCAGTAATTTTTTCTTCCTTATTGGTAATTTCGATGCCTTCTGCTTTGCTCATGTGTTCTACCATCATTTGGAAATTAAAAGCGTCTCCCTGTCGAGTGTTTAGTTGCTCGATTTTAATGTTTGAAATTGTTGCTGCTTCTTCTCGACTATTACATTCTTCAATTTCGTTGTTGTTCGAAGTTGTTGGTACTTCTCTTACGCTGCTGGTACTTGGAGTATCTCCCTCCTTTATTTCTTCCACCAAAGATTTCTTCTGCCTGTAACCTGCAATTAATATAACGTATTGCTTTAAACCGATACAAAAAGCGTTCGGAACAAACCTTTGGGTGTGAAATCGAAGATCCTCTCGCGATAAGCGGAATAATCTTCGTCTGTCTGCCTGTCCTTCATAAACTCGTCTTCTTCGCTCTCACCCTCGGACGAAGACGAGTCTTCTGGTTCGTTGTCGCATTCCTCTCCGTAGTTGTAAACGTTCTCTTCTCCGTCCTCTGAAGAATTGTTGCCGCTTGCGTTTCTCGGCGAATTTTCTTCGTTGTCACGTTGACGAACGTGCTCGTTCAGAGATTCGGCCTCGCTTTCCGAGTCTCCTACTGAAGTGCCCATTCCACTGTCGCAAGTTTGGCTCTGTCGTCTATGCTCCTCTATATATCTGTCCCGTATTGCCACCAAAGCTGAAAGCGTACCTTTAACTTTTTATCTACAATTTTTTAATCCCTAATGCCTCATTATTGTACCTTTGTGGGATTCTTGGGATCAAGATGAGATGAATTAATCAAATTTGGATAAAAGTAGGTTCAGTTGAATCGTCTTATCTTCACCCCTAGAATCTATGACAGTTTTATGTACTTAAATTATTGGGACACCCTATATTAATATTAGGTTTCTAATATACGAACCATTAACACTGTCCATAATTTTCTGACGTTCTCGGTCGATCCAACGCTTCCTCTCAGCATTCTCTTCTGATATGCCACCACGTTGCCTTATGAAAAAATATTTCGTGAAATGGAAAAGCCAACACCAAAAAAGTGTAGCAAGGACTGAGCAAAAAACACGACATAAATTTACATAGTTGAAAATTGTATGAAAATTTTGAAATTTTTAATATGAATTTGATTTCACTGCCAAATATTTATTTTAAGTATGAACAACTTCTATAGATAGCCAGTATTGATATGTTTTCACACACATTTGCTGTCCCATTTAAGATTCTTCCATAGTCCTCGCAATATCAATAATACAGAAATGTATATGTCTTAAACAAAAGGCGCACCAAATCAATTTCTTCACATTTTAAAATTATTTTCAATTATACAGGGTGTCCGTTAAAATATTTTCTTTAATAATTGTCGACTACTTCGAGTTAATTTCATGAAATTTCATATCCCGGTTTTTTGGGATAAAAAATTCGAATTTATCGACGATTTCGTTGTATCTTCCAGAGGACGAAATAAGCGACCATTAGGACGCATTTAAATTTGTAAATGCATAAAAAATTGTTTAAAAGTTATTGACAACACCACTGATAGACATTGAAGAACATATTATCTTTTAAGACAGGTCAATAATAATTAGTTTTTATTTTAGATTTTTAGGTCGTTTAGATTTGTTACATTGTTTAGATTGTGTTAGGTTGATTAGATTGTCTTTAGTTTGTTTGTAGTAAAATTTAAAAATTAAATTGTAATTGCACTGTTTCTTTTAAAATAACTTTTAAACAATTTTTTTTATACATTTACAAATTTAAATGTTTTTTTGATGAAAACGGTTGGCTTTTGAAATATTAGCAAGCTTTTTCCAGCCCAAAGTGAAATACACGGTGGCACAAAAAAGTTTTGGCAGTTTAAATGCGTCCTAATGGTTGCTTGGGACGCCATCTAGAAAATACAACGAAATCGTCGATAAATTCGAATTTCTCATCCTAAAACACCACCGGATACGAAACCTCACGAAATTATCTCGAAGTAGTCGAAAGATATTAAAGAAAATGTGTTTTTTTCAACTTCAACACACGTTATCTCGAACTAAGTATTTATGACCAACATTGTATATGACTTTTTCCCGTTAATTTTCGTCGTAGAATCTAGTGGTAAAGTTTGGCCCATTCTATAACGGACACCCTGTATAGGGTATCCCTTTTTTTTCTGGACATGACCTAACCTTATTTTTTTAAATTATTGCTCTACATATATATTTTTTAATGCAATTTTTGTTAGAAACAGTTTTAATCTGTCTTAAATGGGATACCCAGCCTTACAATGGAAGTAATTATTAGAAATACAGGGTGTTAAAAATATGTGAAAAGTACATTTATATAAAATCGTATATATTTAAAAATGTGAACAACTTCGTCAGGAGCTCACATGTGGGCTGACACAGAATTTACACCCTGTATCTCATGAACGAAACAAACGCAGCTTACAATAAACACAAATTGCTTAATTCCTATAAAGTTTTCATTCATGTTAAAACAGAAATTGCACCGGAAACTGCGCTTCGATTAAAGTGTGCAAATATTTCAAGTTAATTTTAAGTGTGGAATGTTACTGCTTTGAAAATTTGCATAAATATTTTAGATTGAATTCATTAAGTATAGCGCATGTTTGGTTACACCCGTCATATAACACCTTGTCCACATCTTTAACAATCATTCATCATTTGTCACCATTTGCATACCAGTAGGTATATATTTTTTGCAATATTATTTTTTTTATGTTTGTAATTGTTATCGATATCATCCTTGTGTATTATCTATTGACATGTCACTTATGCGCGTATAAGTTTCTGTCACCAAATCCTAGGGCGATTCATTCGTCACAACAATAAATAAAAGTTTAACTTTTTATATATAAAAACAAAATGTTACCAAGCTTCTGCACAAGCTCTCTCTCTGGGGAACACCGGACGATCATCTAAATACTGTAGTTCTTTCTGAAAATAAAATTTTGGTTAATATTTAGAACGGATGTAATTGAAATTGAAACCTTAATAATTAAACTCGTCAAAATTATTTTAGTGTTTATAAAATATTTGACAAAAATGTGTTTTCGTAAAAATGTTGGCACTTTATTTCTGGGTCACCCTGTATTTTCACGATGCATTCTAAGATTTTTCCTTTTAAATCGTAGAAATATGTCAAAATTTTCGTATAAACTTTAGCGATTTATTTTTATTAATAGAAATTCATTTAAGTTTATGCACAAATATGGTTTTCCGTGATAGTATCTCGTCTTGATAATATCGAACAAACACTAAACAGGCATGTAAAGCATTTTTTTATCCGTGTCGAAACTATTTCGTTACGTATCTCTAGAATTTTTTTATTTGATTGACGTTTCATATATTTCAATAATTGAAAATTTCCTAAAATATCGAAAATATATAAAAAACACGTAAAGATGTAAAAAAGAATATCCACAACCAAAATAGCGTGAAATTTTATAAATTTTTTTTGTTTTTAATTTTTAAATGTTCTTTTTAATATTTTTCTTTATTATTTTTTCTTTACTGAGGCTTAACAAAAATACGTGAAATATTGTTTGAAGTAAGTATATTATTTGTGGATAGTTTTGTTTTTTCTTTTTTCTTAATCTTTTTGTTTTTATAATTTATATTTTTTTAGGATTTTTCTGTATTATTTTTTCTTTATTGAGGCTTAACATTGGAAAAATACCCAAAAAAATAAAGAAAAAAAGCGAGAAAAATTCACGAACATATACGTACGCAAGTTAGTATCATCGTTTTGCGATATGCTGGAACTTTTCTTATAACCGGGTTGCCCATCAAGTTCAATACTCTCAAACCGGGCATTTTGCCCAGAACTTCTACAATCAGCGGATCGTCTATGTGGTTGTTAGACAAGTCCAATACCGACACCTCCAGAAGATGCTGAAGATGCTCAAAATCTTCCAAAGTTTCGATATAATTGTTGGCCATGTTAAGAGAGTGCAACGGCTTGATACAGTCTGTAAAAGTCGGTCGCAGGAATATAAGAAAAATATGTATTAGCAGTATCAGACTACATCTATGGAAATATTTTTTTTTGCTTTAGAACATTACTAGAAATTTTATTCAAATAACGTAACACTCAGATAAGACACAATAGGTAATTAAAGTTGTTTAAATTTTTTGGATTTTTCAACATTTCTATAATATTTTACTGCACGATTTTATCTAGAACTATTTGTGAACGTAGCTAATCTTTGGTTTACCACTTTTATAATAATTAAAAAAAATGACTTTCTTATAAAAAGTAAAAGAATGTAGATAAGTACCAAGATTTTCAATTTTCTTCACTTGATTGTGCGATATATTCAATGTATCCAAAATAGGACAGCATTCCAGGTTTTCAATCTTTTTGATTAAATTGTAATGAAGAAACAAACTGCGTAGTCCACTTTGCTTGTCCAAACCGCTTATTTCCCGTATTCCGTTGTTTTCCAACCATAAACATTTTAACCCTGTGTATTCTTCTAGATTTTCTATGTAAGAAAACCCTTTGAAGTGCAGGTACAATACATCGTTTAGGTACGGTGTTTGATACAAATTCTGTTCTCTACAGTGCTTTTTTAAGAATTCTTTAGTCATTCTAAAAGTTATGAATTATAATAATGACAAAACCATATTTTTTAATCGGTATCTCTCACCTAGGACCTTTGAATATGTCATCCAAAACCTTGTTTCTATATATTCCCAGGCCATTCGGGGCATTTTCTGTAATTTTTGGGCCATTTTCAGTGATGACTGACATTGTAATATCGTCGTATTGATAAAACAGATTTTTAAGTTTCCTAGGAAACGAAGACTAAAAATTGTTGGGGCCAGCATAAGATTTAAATCAAATTTAATCTTGTTGTGGCAACATATTTGAAATCATTTGAACATAGGGTATTTCATAATTAATTGTTGGCTGCCGTGAAATTATCATGGACTTTGTGGATGATATAGGTAATTCCCGAGACTTTCTTATTGGATCCAGATGGATTGATGACGTCAGGGTTGGTTCTTCTTCTTCTTTTTTATTGGCCTTCACCCAGAGGGTATTTAGCCAGCTTCTTATGTGATTGCTTTTTATTATTCAAGGGAATGCACCGTGCAGTGCATCTGAGATTGGTTACTCATATTCCCTCGATTGATTCCTTTATCTTCAGCGGGAGTGCAAATGGGGTTAGTAAACAACACAACACAGGATAGACTTTTCTCGCTCGGGGGCAACAGCCGAGCCTTAACACACACCGAAACGTTGCCTCGGATTGGAGAGAAGCACCCAGGTTAAAAAGAGATGGGGACATAGGTTTTTCTGACCACATTCACAATACGGTCAGGGTTGGTTTCTTTTGTTAAATGTCAAAATTCGAAACGAAAACAGAGGAAATAGTGTTGATTTTTGAAGTTGCAATTATCACAGCGGCAAAATAAAGACCGGAATTATTATTAAAAACTAAACATAATTACCAATAAATAAGGTTGTTACTTGTAGAAATATGTCATATCTGCCTTTACGCAATCTATGATTTTTCAGAATAGCCAACATACAAATATAAAATTCCCTGAAACTCATTTTGATACATATTTTAATTTTAATGAAATTTATTCCAAGAACTAATATTTTAAACGTTATTAAGATCCTTATGGTTAAATTTAAATGTATAACTAAAATTAATCTGTATTTTCCTAATTATAGATTTGTAATTAACTTGTCTGGAATAGTTCGAATTAACCAATCAAGTGATTGTGCGCGGTTTGAATTTTGCAGAGGGAATTTGTAACTGTCAGATTATTACACCCAAAATTTGTTTAATTACGCGGAAATTGTTTATAAATAGTGTTCGAAAAAAATACAAACATAAAAAATGCCTTGTGAAATGATAACGTTGCAGTTAGGCCAATGCGGCAATCAAAGTAACAGTGTTCATGCAAATTTTAAGGTTATATTTTAAATTTTGATTTTTCAGTTGGGTTCGAATTTTGGAAACGTCTTTGTGCCGAACACGGCATTAATCCGGAGGGAATACTCGAGGATTATGCTACAGAAGGTATCGATAGGAAAGATGTCTTTTTCTACCAAGCCGACGATGAGCATTATATCCCTCGAGCAGTGCTATTGGATTTGGAACCCAGGGTAATAAACACTATCCTAAACTCTCCATATTCGAAACTGTACAATCAAGAAAACGTTTTCCTGTCCAAAAATGGAGGCGGTGCTGGTAATAATTGGGCTTCTGGTTTCTCGCAAGGTGAAAAGTTAAACGAGGAAATTTTCGATATCATCGATAGGGAAGCTGAAGGTAGCGATAGCTTGGAAGGCTTTGTTCTGTGTCATTCAATCGCGGGTGGTACAGGATCTGGTATGGGTTCGAATATTTTGGAGAAATTGTCTGACAGATTTCCCAAGAAATTGGTACAAACATACAGCGTGTTTCCGAATTTGGATGAGATAAGGTAAGCTGAGACTTGACTATTAATATCAAACATGAATAAATTAAATACTTATTATTTTAGTGATGTTGTGGTCCAGCCTTATAATTCGCTACTGACGCTGAAAAGGCTCACAGAATCTGCAGATTCTGTAGTTGTACTGGATAATACAGCTTTAAATCGAATAGCTGCTGATCGATTAAGAATTCAAAACCCCACCTTCACTCAAATTAATAGTCTTGTTAGTACTATCATGTCTGTCTCGACGACCACTTTGCGGTGAGTTTTAACTACATAAATTAATAAAAGATGTAATAACAAATCTGTTACAGGTATCCATCTTATATGAACAACGATTTGATGGGTCTCTTGGCACCATTGATCCCTACTCCTCGGTTACATTTCCTCATGACGGGGTATACCCCGCTATCGACGGATACCGATGAGGTCAGCGTCAGGAAAACTACTGTATTGGATGTGATGAGGAGATTACTGCAACCGAAGAATATGATGGTGTCGACGGGGCAGGACAGGAACTCGCAACATTGTTTTATTTCCATACTGAATATTATCCAGGTAAGAATGATTTTGTATAATTTTTTTGTTTCCTCATTTTATTTGTTAATTATTCCTTCTGTGTAAGCTGATAAATTCCAAAGCTTTAGTCGTGACGGGGTCCTTTTCGTAAGTGAAATTAGTTACATGTCGTTGCATAGCAAATTTTTCAGTGAAGTTAAAAAACTGTTTCTTAGCATTTTTTATTTAAAAATTACAACAGTTATTTTTAATTTTACCGTAAACAGTCACAATTCTATAGAAAATAAGATTGTCCATTTTTAACCAGATTATGCGGATTGATGTCGTAATGCGTTTTGCTGAAAATATGCACGTTGCAGAGACACAATGACTATATGTATAGTTTATACTATTTTAATTTTTTTTTTTTGCATTTTGATAAATATGTAAATGATTTGTTTTAATATATTGTGATGACCTACCCTCTTTCTTACTAGGGTTATAACTTATCTATGGTTATAACTCAAAGATAATACTTAACAAACAAAAAAATATTTGTTATTCAAAGACTAAATGTACTCAGAAACAGTGCAATGCGCACAGGAAAGTCCGGCTATTTCATACACGGCTGCCAACATTCTGATGGTTGATTGACGATCAGACTTCAACGCAGAGTGCATAGCCTCGATGTTTTCCTTCGTTCGGCTTGTGCGAGGATACCCCTTCCTCTCGTCGTTGTGCCTGCTGTCTTGCCCATCACGAAACCTCCCGAACTACAGAAATACAATCGGACGTGGTACACACTTCTCACAGTACGCTGTTTGTAACAGTTTATACGTTTCCGTGGCTGTTTTACCGGCTTTAAAACAGAATTTGATTACTGTAAGCTGTTTCTATGACAATTATCAATAACTTGCTTCATGAAAAACGTTATAACTTCCTGGTAGATACAAGAAATTTTGTTTGGTTGATCAGAAGACGTAGTTCTGTTGACCCCACATAGATAGCGCCACGTTCTTCCCCACAATAAATTCAGTCTTAAAATTTAATAGGCGGACTGTGAATATATTTTGAACAAAAACTGGAATGACACGTTTTTATATTTAACTTCAACTCTTAATTATTAACGATTAAAATTTCTAACTTGAAAATATTAAATAAAACAAAACACGTCTTTTTTCAGTTTCTATCCTTACCTCTAAATAATGGACAATGTTCACTCCCACATGTTAATTTTAAATAAGTATTTCATTATTATTATTATTTTATTTTCTTAATACTCTGTTCGCCAGAGAGCACTTACGCGCTCACTCTGGCATTTAAAACTGTCTGAATAGAGTACCAGGTAATCTCAAAAATTTTGTTTTTCCCACATTTTCCTTAACCGCACCCCGCTCGCTAACAGACACCTCTATATACCTAATATTTTAGGATTCCCTGTGTGTCCCCTTTTAATAGGTTGTACTGTATAACATTTTATTTCATCTTTCACCTAAAGGTCGATTCAAACACATCAGTCGTGTCACAGTTTCGTCATAGAACCAATGCAGCTCCGTCACAGAATTTTTTTGACTGATTCGTCAGGTTTGTTTATACACACCCGAAGCATATCAGTCTCCGTTGTAGTGGTGATCACTCTGTTGAAAAGATGGCAGGCTTCTCAGTTGATGAATTGGTAATTGCTATATGTTTGAACGAAAAAGAAACTAGACTAAACCAAGAGAAAAGATGAAAATGGATCCATGACGCATGGAAAAGAAGAGAAACTGGAGGAGAGTATGCGACACTATACAAGGAGCTACTAGAAGATGTGAAATTTCATCAGTATTTTAGAACGTCAAAAAACTGGTTTAATTTATTGTTTTCCAAAATTTAAAAAAATTTGGAAAAAAAAGACACATCGAAGAAACAGACAAATATAAGCAGCACCAAAAAATGCCAATAAGACGGGTTGAAGCCCGTCAGCTTGGAAACTGTTCGGCACCTGACGAATGCGAACGCCTCCATCACATTTTCTTTTTTGACGGACAGTCCGGTTCGGCGCCGGAGCTGTTACGTGCCGGGACTGATGTGTTTGAATCGACCCTAAGGAAGAGAACCGAAATGATCGAAAGTAGAAAAAATCTTTCGACTACATTTTTGTTGATGTTTAGGGTGAAGTGGATCCGACACAAGTACACAAGTCCCTCCAACGCATCCGCGAGAGGAAACTTGCGCAATTCATCCCATGGGGGCCAGCTAGTATCCAGGTGGCTCTTTCCAGGAAGTCTCCTTACATACAGTCGGCTCATAGGGTATCCGGGCTCATGTTGGCCAATCACACGAACATCAGCTCTGTAAGTGCTTCCATAACCTCATTTAAAATTAGACAATTAAATTTCGGTAAAATTTAAAATTATTAAAACAATAAGAACAATATTACATTAAAACTCAATGTTTTGTTTCGCCGGCTGGTGATTGATATAATTTTTCATGAGATTTTATTCAACCAATCAGCTATCGCATTATATCGAGTGCATGTGTGACACTTCGTCATTGTTCATTGTAAACGAATTATTAATATGGACGATACTAAGATTTAAGGATTTTTAGTTGACAGTACCAGCCGTGCAATGTTGGTTGCATAAGCTCGGTGATCATATAACTTGTAAATATTTATGAAGGCTCTATATGAAAATTGGGGAAAGGTTAATTTACTAGAACTAAAATATTATTTCTTAACGAAACAGTGTTGTCACTATTTATAATTTTTGCAAAAATTCAAACTTTCGAACCCTTTCAAATTAAATAACCTAACCTAACCTAACCTAAAACTGTAATGCCTTAGCAGTTTATAAAGGGTAACCGCAAAATCCGCGTGTTTTTGAGACTTTGACAGAGGCGACAGGAACAATCCTAAAAATATTCTTTGTTTTTCGAAAATAACCCTTACTCAGGGGTTAAAAAGACAAGAAAAGTGAACAAATTAAGAATCATCAACAGTTGTAAAACCCCAAATATTTCTATGTTATCAAAATAATATGAACGTGAAAATATCTAATTTCGTATTTGATACGGTCTTGTCTGCATTGAAAATCAACCCTTAATATCCCTAAAGGAATTATTCTAATGAATGTGTTTCGAAACATTATTCTTTCATGCATTATAATTATTTTATGTACTTTGAAGGCGATGGTTGAACTTAAGGGTGGTTTTACCATCATTTAGAGGTATTTTCCTTCAGATCTAGTGATTGTGGGTTATTAACGGTTCAATTATCACGTATAAAAGAAAAAGAAAAAAATTGTTACAATATATTTTTTGCATTTTTAGGCGTTCAGGGGTTGATTTTCAATCCGGACAAGACCGTATCAAATGCGAAATTAAATATTTTCAAATTCATAATATTATTTTGATAACAACATAGAAATATTTGGGGTTTACAACTATTGATGATTCTTAATTTGTTCACTTCTTTGGTCTTTTCAACCCCTAAGTAAGGGTGATTTTTGAAAATTTTCGAAAAACTGAAAGTGATAAAGTGATGCTCATTTTCATTTTTCATGACGAGTATTTGGATATTTTTAGAATATTTTTAGAATTTTTCCTGCCGCCTCTGTCAAAGTCTCAAAAACGGGCGGAAAAATGGCTTTTTTTGCGGTCACTCTTTCTCATTTCAATCGCTCAAATCGCAGGAATATTTGATATTATTTGAAAATGTTGCGAAAATCATAGACAAGTCTGTTTTTACTTGATAGACAGACTAGACAGCATACGTAACCCAGCAAATTCAGATGAACGGAAATTGTGAGAGGCCTATAGCAGACTGTGCATCATTTTGAATCTGTAGAGACCCTTCACAATTTACCAACTGTGCGTAATAAACAGAAACGTTCTTTAAAGTTTTACATTTTTGAAATAGTGTCCGATGAAATTCAGAATGAGTGGAAACGGTGCTTTGACATGATGTACAGCTTTTACAAGAACAAATATTTCTTACTTTATTACACAATTTATCTAAATATGAATTAATGCACAAATAACAGACTTTCCTCTATTCTAACGCAGATTTTCTATAAAATGGACTTAGTTTAAAACTTAAATTACTTTTTGGTGTAAAGAAATTTGTAATGTACGATGCCACTTGTTCAAAATTGGCAAATTACAAATTTCTTTACAATAAAAAGTAACTCGAGTTTCAAACTAACCCCATTTGATAAAAAACTGCGTTACAATGGAGGAAAGTCTGTTATTTGTGCATTAATTCACATTTAGACAAACTGAGTAATAAAATCTATAAAAATGTATTGCTGGTTGGCTATTTGCTATAGAGCCCTCTTAACGCCCTTTAATGTTACCGTCGTTTCAGCTGTTCGATCGTGCCCTGACCCAATACGACAAGCTGAGAAAACGGGAGGCGTTCTTGGACCAGTTCCGCAAGGAGGACATGTTCAAGGAGAACCTGGACGAGCTGGACTCTAGCAGAGAGGTCGTACAGGACCTCGTAGACGAGTACATCGCCGCCACCCAAGAAAACTACTGTACTTGGGAACAGGCTTGAAGGACGAAAGGGGCAATTTTGCGGTGTTTTGTCCAGTTGGTAGGTAAATCACTTTGTCTTGGAAATGTATTTATTTTCGTACTGTGAATCTGTTAATGTTTTGAAGAAAACGAAGGTTTTTCGTTGCCGAACTTTACAAACAAAAGAAATGGTTCGTGAAATGTTCGTAGTTGTTGTAAAAATTAATAAATTAATTTGTTACAAGGTGAAATGTGAACGGCAGTTATTTGTATAATTTTTTTTAAAATTTGAATGAAATATAAAAACATGTTGATGATTAGAAATTAATTTTGAAGCACTAAATTGAATTTATACGAATCTCAAGGTCCGCGTTGAGATTTTATTATTTATGTTTGTGCCATATTTAATATTTTTTTTAATAAGAGATTTAAGCCACTCTTTTCTTTAACAAAATGTTGTTCCATTAGTATATTTTGTACATGTTTTGTATTCTTGATTATGTAGAACGAACAAGAGTGTTGTGTGTCAAAATGCTCGTCATCGCCCACAGTTTTAGTCGAGTTTATACTGTCGTTGTCCAGAGTCGCTCCAATCTAAGGACGTTTGAATTAAAATGAAACGGATTTTCTCACACTTCTGTTGAAATTAAACGGTAACCGTCGAAATCCAATTATTTTGTCGGCGGCGTGTCAAGGGGGAACATCCGAGTAGAGTAGAGAAAAATTAGGTGAATTTTTGGAATTATTGTCACAAAAACTATCCGTTTGTTTTATTCGAAAGTATACATGTTGAGATATGCTGACAAATTTCTTTATAAATATGTATTGGCTGGGAGCACTGGCGTCATGGCTGGCGTAAAAAATCTCCCTTGCTCACACAGTCTGCGGTTTTCAAGATTACATGCGGTCGGTTGATCGGAAACAAAAATTTCAAAAAGATTCTTTAAACTATAATGTATGATGCCCTTCGCAACGTACGACTTAAAAAAAAAAAAAATTTCAGGAGGAAGTGGTTGATTGAACTTTATATTCATTTTTCAACCTTAATTTCCAACCTTTCTGGCTTGATTAAAAAAAAATAAGTGAAAAAAAATCCTACGTTCCAAAATAGAAAATCTGTTCAAAAATATTGTGTCAAATTTTGGAAGCAATCGGTCGAGCCGTTTTCCGAATATTTTGGGAACCGTCTAGAACCGAATAGTTTGTTACGAGATAATCTCGTTTAAATTTTGGCAAAGAATTGATGCGTTTCGTAACTCTGTCGCTCGTCAGCTTCTCGGTAAATCGTCCATAACTTTTACAGTTCTTCAAATATCAAAATAAAATGTATACACTATATTCTTCATATTCCAAACCTGAACAATTTTTTTTGGAAAAGTCAATTTTTGTATAATAATTTACATATTGAGAAAACTTTTTTTATTTTACCATTAATCTACAATTCCTGGACCATAAAGTAGGCCTTTGGCAGCATCTTCTGCTTTGATCCGATGAATCCTCCCTTCGCAGGCTGTCGCGAGTTTTGACTTTGTCGACACACATGCTTTACGATGAACAAAAAAAAATTGAAAAAGAACTTTTTTTCATTCATCGGATGTTCCTCCTTTAAGGGTTCAACTACTTTGCCCATTTGGCTAATTCTGTGTCTCCAGTAGTAATAAGGATGCCTTGTTAGAGGAAACACTGTATATGGAACAAATGTACAGGGTGTCCCAATTTTAACACTTTTGGTGGGTTTCTGACGTTCGCCGAGGAAATAGACAGAAAGTAGCTGTCTCAGGTTTGATTTTTGAAAAATGAGCGACCACCACTGCATCTCTATCCAACAGAATTTGAAATCGCGTCGCACTAAATAAAATTACCTTCTTGTACTTTCGTAAATAGAAAAAATTGGTAGGGCCACAGTGATTTTGAGCATTGTTTAAATTTTCTGTATTACAGTGACTAAAGACTTTAGGGTTAAATCTCTAAAGGAGAGAAGGCATTAGGTGGAGAGTGGAGTTCCTTCCCGTGTTTTACAATGTATGCATTCGCAGTAGATGTTCCCGAGATCGTCACGCTCGCATAGCGTTCTCCACCAATCTTTTCCAAAGAATCTTGGGAGACCACGATGCGATCGAGACGAGCTTCCTCTTTCATATAACCCATTTTTTAACTAGTAAAACAATACCTCAACTATTTAAAGAAGGGTGCCAGCAGGATTGTGTACGATTGCCAAATGCGACTGATTTTGTAAAAGACCGCGATCAGCTCAGCCCAGATCGGACCGCGATGCGATGGGACCGCGACCGCCCGATGCGTTCTCTGCTTAAGGCTTCAGAGTTAAATCTCTACACACTCTGTATTTCTTAAGAAAATGATTTCTGTTAGATTTTTCTTATAAATTGCAGGCAAGATTTTTAATTACCATCTAAATGTTTCGATCCAGCCAAATATTTAAAGACGCCGAGAAACAAAACGGTACTCATTCGACAGTTTAGAACTCCTTAAAACGATGGGCAATGACAGTTATTAGGTGTAATTTTCCTGTTTCTATATGCTCTGGCAAGGGATTGCCGTGTATAGTGTAGCTCTCTGTAAGCATGTGTATGATGTTTTGTAAATAAAGTAATCTATATTATAGTCAACAGTTAACACTTTAAGTTGTTACTTCTCATTTGATATTATTTAATTTAGTTAATTGTTTTAGCGTATAGATTTTCGTAAATAAATTATAAATTACAATTGTTTTTTTATTTATCCATTTTCCTTTCATTTTCCCAAACTTGCTGTTGCTGTCCAGTTTTATGTATTACGGCCACATAAAGGACAGTGGAGACTATGGTGTTGCAGCATTTTGATTGATCACTTAACGGTAAGTGTCAGAGTCAACTCTGACGTCAATGTTTTATATATTTTCTTAGAAAACGTGACTTGTAGCTGTAAGTAGATAAAAAAAATTTATCAGGAGAGCATGAAGCACAACAGGTGTTTTCTATCAAGAGCAGCAGAGATACCTTCTCAACCTTCTGTTATCCTGATCGATCGTGTCTCCAAGTTTAAATGAAAATATTATGATTTTACTATAAATATATTCACATAAAATAAAATTTTGGTATCAGGAGAGCATGAAGCACAACAGGTGTTTTCTATCAGGGGCAACAAAATACCTCCTTAACTTAACATGTTCTCACAAAATTTCTACAAAATCCAAAGACTATCACTGTTTATTAAGAGCTCAATTGATTCATATATTTCAGTCAATGCTCATAATTTAAACCAAGTACGTGAAAGTACCTACCATGGAGACTATACAAGGAGCCCGAACTCCATGTAAACAAAAATCTTACAAAAATAAGAGGGCGCTAGTGTTCCATATGTCCCATATGTAGAGAGGGGAGATAAAAAGCGGCAGTTTGAATTATAAATCAATCATGTCATTTTTGTAATGTGTTAAAAATTTTAAAATAAATAATGTAAGCTACTTTGAATTATATAAATCATGAAAATATGTCATTCCGGACTGTAATTAAACTAAATAGATAATAAAAAATATTAGCTTTATGAGAAGAATTTGGTGTTCGTAGAAAGAAACTAGTTTTCAAGGAATTTATGACGTGTCTTGTTAATATTAACCTATAAGTAAGGTTTATGTTTTTGATAATTACTTTGTTAAAGATTTTAGTTTAATGTTAGTAAAAAATAGTCACATTTTATACAGGAAGTTGCCTTTAAAATAATAGTAATTCTTGTATTATTAATATGGAATTTTTACTTGTGGTAATAAAAAATAGAATATAAAAAAACTCGGTGTTTTAAATAAACTTTTAAAATATTACAGATGTCCGATTTTGAGTCCAGTGATTCAGATGACTTATTAGACGCATTGTCCAGCTTGAG